TTTTCTGTGGGACTCAGAGAGGATTCTCACCAGTCAGTATTTCTTTTTGATACAACTGTTACTGTTGGAACATGATCCTGATCACTAGCCTGAAAAAGACACGTTTTTGTCTGAAGGTTTTTAAGAATTCTTCTGTTAAACAAAATGTCAGCTATCACAGTAACTAATGACAGAGCAATTCACTTAGCCATAAGAAATACTAGAATGTCCTAATATTAAACACTAGATGACAGCAAAAAATGGCCCCATTTGGTCTGTTCATACACAAGGTATTAATCTCAAGAGACTTTTTTCACAGGTTTTGCAAGCTAAAAACCAGTCATCAGAACCTTTAAACTAGGTTAGAAGGACTGTACAACCCATCAAGCTGTAAGAGCTTGTAATCTTTTCAGCAGAGCTATGCCAAGAAAGAACTATAGCTCAAAGCGATACAGAATTTTCAATATTGTTGAGAAGTCTCACTCACAGAAACAAACTCTGGGTGTTCCAAGGGTACAGGTAGGCATAGCCGGGCAAGCGTAATCAGAATCTGACAGAAGGGTCACTGTACGCAATGTGAAGAAACACAGCAAAGGTAGTTTGAAAGAACTGCTACACAAGATTCTGTAATATACTAATTCGGTGGAATGCATAAACAAAAAGACTGAGAGAGAGAGGAATAAACAAATGTTCAGAAAGTTACTAACGAATGACCAATAATAATCAAGATGTTCAAGACTGTTGGCTACACAAGTACAGCTACATAATCTCTGGCATCACCTTAGGAATGCCCAACTCCTCCCACCCCACATGCAGTCCAGACATCAGTTACGCCTTGGGTATTCCTGCACTGACCTGTTGGAGACACAGGGGAGAAAAGGAACCGTTATTGGGCCACAGCAACTCCATGTCATTGTATTGCTCTTTGCTACTGGAGCTACAAGGAGTCTTCAGTCCTAGGGAACCTATTCCTGGGGCCGTTAATGGTGACAGAAAGAACCACCACAACAGCTTACTGGTTCTGTTCTTGACCCACCTGAGGTTGCTCCCTGTCCATGCTGTCTTACAGGAATTTCCTTTTCTGCACATTAGGGATTCTTTTAGGATTTCGACACCTAAAGGAAGAGATGGCACAAATTAACCAACCTAGTAATAAGTTATGGATTCATTAGGGGTTTGGGGAGGGGGGGTTGGTAAGATAGTCATATTAATGAAAACATTCTTAGACCTTGGGACATTAAGATTCATCTTAGCACAGAAGATGACAAATAAAACTTTGCTAAAGAGCAGACTTATTTACTGTTAATCACCTGTCTTGGGAGATTCTACCTTCCAATCCGACACAAGCGTGTTTTGGAGTCTGTACTTCACACAGATAAGTGACAAAACAAGCCCTGCTGGGAAAACCACTGCCCTCATTTAAAATTTTCAACTTGATCCTGCTTAGAGATTTAGAGAAAAAAATGAGAGCAGTAAAGATAATCCATGTATTTCCAGAATTTTTATCGCTGCTTCTGTGCTTTAGAAAGAAACATACTTTGTAAGTTACGAAGATAACAGCATTAATAGTTCTGTTATCAGGAGAACTTTTGATTTTGGGTCATGGAGCCATTGTTCCTCTGATTTTGATGCCTTATGTTCCCAACAGCTTCCAAATGAGGATTCAGACAAGATGCAGTCAGCACAATGCAGATTTAGGCACTTAAACAAAAACTTGAATTGTTTTGACAGAAATCGGTGGCCCAATTTACTTTTGGGAAAGCAACTATGACATATTTAAAGTGAGTATGAAGCTTCAGTGACAGTTTTATTATATGCAGTGTTCTGCTTAAAGCTACAGTTTGCCAGTGCCAGGATTTTTAAAAAAGCAAAGTGCTCATTTGTTTTTTCAAGAAAATCATTCATCATTTCACTGCCTAAAACAATGTCATACTTCATCTTAATGGAGAGACAGATAGTCACCAGGCAGATTGTGTCCCAAAACGACAGCATCCTTCCCATGTAAACCCAAACCAAGAACAAAAAGTTAGACTTAACTACATTCCACCACAACACAAAACAAATTTACCCAGATGCAAGAAGGAAGTCAGAGATTGATTACATCTGAATCTTGAAACAATCTTAATCTTTGCCACAGCTTCCAACTACTTCATATGACTCTGACAATATTCTTTAATAAGAAAATTCTCATGATTGGCAACATTGACCAAATAGTGGTATTACGCATCTAGTTTTAACATGTTATACAAAGAAGCCAAGACTGATCTCCACTCCTGTTGGAGTGCCATCCTCAGCACAGATTTCAGAATGCCACCTAGCGGGCAAACAGCATTTCCCACCAGTGGAAGCCAGAAACAACCCAAGCCATTTCAGAACAGGTTAATATAAGCCTGAGATGCAGGGCACAAGGAACAGAGACATTAGAAGAAAGAGGTAGCCACGTGTTTCATATAACAGATACTCATAAAAAAGAACCTATTAAAGTCAGGCAATTTTGCAATTCCAGTGAAATCTATGCATGCATCTTTAGGTGCTTAAAGATCTTGAAATAACAATCCACTAAAACATCTCTGATGGTCTCAATAATTTCCACAGAGGAAATGATTTCATTAAAAAAGTCAAGCTCCTTATTATTTTAAAACAAATTTTTTTTTTTTTTCTTTTACATTTTAAGACAGCCACGGAAGTATTTATAAATGGAGAAAATACAGCTCAAATAATATTATAATCTGATTAGGTGTGGAAGCCATCACCAGCTGCTCAACGGCATTAAAGGCATCTATGAAGGACAATGCCCCAGTTAATAGCTAGGTGGAAGAAAGCCAGAGATGCTGGTTAACTGTAGCCACGGGGAGACACGCACCACCTGCCCATTATGAATCCCAAAGGACACAGGATTCCCAGGAATGGAATACCCATCACTGGTAGGTGACCTGTGGCATTACTCCTGAACACGGGCGGGTATCACTGCCCGCGTGATGAGGAGCAAGGGGTGGATGAGGGGGGAAGGCTGGGTCCCCAGCTGTGGCACGCAGGTTCGGCTGCCGCTGCTGTGATTGATCAGTACTCACGGGTGTTTCTGCTGGTACTCAGAGCTCCCACACTTCATTTGATCGGCTGATGCATTGGCTACCCCAGCTTGGGAATGCCTGCTGTGGACGTGTTTCCAAGCCAAGAAGGAAGGTCTTGCCAGCAAACTCGTAACTTCCATAGCTGCCTGTAGATAATACGACATTAGCGATACCATTCTGCTAGCACACTACGTTCAATACATTTTGAATCATGAAAATCCACTCTCAGTTTGGTCTTGGAAATTTATTACAAGGTTAAACAGCAGAGTCCTACTGCACTTAAACATCTTATAAAACTCTATCGTAATGAATTGTTATTTTTGATCCTATAAATTTAACTTCATTTCCAGCTAGCATTTCCTTATTGCATGCACCTCATCTCTTTTCTTGCAAGCAAAGAATATTAGTAATTGGGTGGAAGTAAGTGGGAAGAATGACTTTTAATTACATTTTTAAAAGATACACACTTTGTTGAATAGTTTCCTCAAAAAACATTTCAAATATTAAGGAAAAAAAATGCTGTCCCAGGAGACAAAGAGTGCTAGTCACCCCAGGCCATCAGGACATCCCTACAGCTGTACCACAGCTGGAATCCCTCCGTGCTTTCAAGCAAGACATTACTGTTCATCCCCCAGATTTCTGCAGGCTCCCACATGCGGTTATCACCAACTGCAGATGGACTCTTAAAAAAAAAAAAAAAAAAACAAAACTGTGGGACCACTTTCATCAGCATCCCAAGCTGGGGAGGGAGGGAGAGATTGGGGGCCACTTCGTAAAGTTAAAACAACAGATGTATAACTCGACTGGAACGCGTTAAGAAAGAACAAGATGCCAACAATCGCACCAATTCTGCGGGAGCTGGAGTTTTCTTCCCGGTAAGAAAAATCTAAGGGGAAACACGCCGACTGCCGGTGGTGCCTCGCTCCTTCCCCGCG